AATTTTTTTTATATTTGTAAAAGTGATGAAGAATCCGGGACACAAATTAGTATGTGTAATAAAGAATTAGAAAATTATTATATACATTAAGGATTAAAAATGTATTTTATGTCACAAAATGATTTATGTTTATTTTGTTAACATTTTAGAATTTATAATAAAATTCTAAATTATCCGATTACGTAAAAAATTAAGTTATTGTACCTATATTGAATTGACAATTTTTGTCTATTACAGATTAATAATATTTTGACATAATATATATATATCTTAAAAGTCTAAAACTTAATAAATAGATGCAAAAAATAAAATTATTTAGCTTTATGTATATTTAAATTTAATATTTTTTAATAAATAAAGATAAGGCTAATTCTAAATTAAGAAAAGATTATCTATTGTTTGTTCCATTTTAAATATTATATTGTATTAAGAAAGTGTATTACACTATATAAAAAAGAAAAAATTATACCTTAGATTTTCGAAAAGTATTGATCACGGATATTATCGTCACAAGCATATTTATTATTATTATTGAGTCTTTTAAAATGTCATTAAAAATACTTTTTAGTGAAAAAATATTTATCACATAATAAAACACATAAACATAAACACTCCATACAATCAATATGTAAAAAAAACTCAAGTAAACTCTTCGATGATCGAAGGGACATCTGATAATCCCAAATCCGAAGATAAAAAAACCTGTAAAGATGGGTTGTAAAACCTGTTCTATAGTGTTGACCATGATAGAAACTCTCACGATTTCGTACGCGTAAGTATTATATCTAAACTCAAAGACGTATGCCATAGAAACGTATTATATTCATCACGATCACTTTATTAAATTGTCACATTATATGTATCGTTAAATCATTAAACAATGGCGTAATTGAAATAATCGGTCTTTATACAAAGTATTACTTGTTATCTTTTAATTGCATTTTATGCACGTTACACATACTTAGACGCATTAAGAATGTAATACATTACATTCATATTTTGATACGTAATTGAAGTCAATTTTTTCTGTTATAATTTTTTATTTTATAAATAAATCATATTGATTGAATGCAATATGATTATTTATAATATAGTTCATTGTTATTAGATTTATATGTTTTTAAAATATTGCATATTTTTGGTTTACTTATATTTGTAACGTTGCAAAGATTTAAAATAAAAAAATTATAAAAACTTATTGATAAACTTATATTTAATTATGTTTTTATTATTACATAAATTAATATATAATTTTAAATATGATTTAAAAAACTGACCATTAATTTTAAAACGATTACAAATTCAAATTACATTTACTATATATACATACTTTGATTATTTCTGTGAGAATTATATATATATATATATAAACATTTTTCCTTTACAAAATTTTTCAAGAATGACGCTACGATTCATTTGATTATATAGCCAGTGTTTGTTGAGAAAACTTAATGTAGTACTTTTCAACAATCTTTCGCATAGTTCTCTAACAATTCAAAATAGTGCACGATAAACATAAATCATATAGAAATTTTTATACAAATTTGTTCAAATAATACAAAAAACAATTGTTATGTATATATGTATATACTATATTAGATTTAATAAAATTGAGAACAAAATATTTAACGCTTATATACAAGAAATAATTTAGAATACAAAGGATTAAA